CACGAAGCATGACTAATCGCGCAAAGATGCCCGAACGTAATCACGTATTTACGCTCTAAATCTTTTTAACCTAATACGATGAAATTGATGATCCGCATTAACCAATTGGCCGATAATCGGCGATCAAAGAATCGAACTCTTCGGATAATCAAACGACTTTAATAACTTTAACAAATTTTAACACTTTGCGCCCCAGTATTTTTGTGCGATGTGTTGAGAGTTTATTCATAAATATATAAAAAAAAAAAATCTAGAAAATCTGATAAAAATTTAATGGAGTTTTCGAGTTATACTGCACAATTACGTTAATTTTTGTTTATTAACTGAAGAATTAAACTACTTAGGATCTCAATAAAGATGTAAAGATCAGCTTACACCAGCAGTAACATTGATAATAACATGTGTTTCTAGCAGTGTTACTGACAAATGTAGATTGTCTCATTTACAACTGCTGAAATCAATTGTTTACAATAAGTTATAAAACAAGTTAAACATATTTTACTATTAATCTTGTTGTTTTGAAATGAAAAAATGTAAAATGTTAATACCATTTGTTCTCAATATTTTCGGGAAAAAATTTACAAAAGTTACTTGATAGCTTTGTCGTTGACAGCTTCACCAACATTATCAAAAATATTTCTGTAATTCATTATTTGGTGATCTAGATCAAAGGATGTTGAAAGCAAATGTTATTAGCAGAAAATTGAAGTAGATATGTGTGAGCAATACTGTTAATAACAAAAAATTTTGTCTTAATTTGACTGATCGTACTATAAAGTTGTTCGCCATTTTCGTCCTTGTTTAATTATATTTCGTAAAAATGTTAATAAAAATCTGTAAAAAATGATAAATATATTTTTAAATCTGTAAAATAGAATTATGTAACGGAATATTCACTTAAGTATTTCATTGTATTGCAAATATAAAGAGAAACGCGATGAAAATATGAGAATTTACATATAAATTTGTAGCTTTTCTGAAAGTAAATTTACAAAATTGACATTGCAGGATTTTCTTGTCGACATTTAAACTTTAAGAAAAAAAGTATACATTTCAATTCTTCGAAAAGTATAATTATTTGAGTATACGTAAATATATATATATATATATATATATATATATATATATATATATATATATATA